GCAACGAGCACTTACTGTTGGTGGGTCCTATTCAAATAGTGCTTGTCGGTCCCTGCGACCGCCGTCCAGTGCAGGCGATTCCCATATGTTTGCGGGGTTGGTATCCGATGGAATCCCATTGACGCCATACACAAAGGATCGCGCGTTTTTCCAGCGCAGACGAGAAAAGGCTAGATGCAAACGTTTCGGGAGCTCTCAGAAGTGGTACCACATAACTGCGCGTCCACCCGCACCGCAGAATAAAACTGCAAACACGGGACAGAGATGCGATGATCGCGCAATTAACCTCTATAAAAAATAAATGTAGGCAAAAATCAGCGTAGTGTAAAAAGGTGAAATATTAGGGATACCTGACGCTCAAGTCAAACTTTTGCATGAGAAGCTCTCAACGCAGTTCGCCGGTCCAGACCAGTACAAAAGATACACTCAACCAAAAAGCCAACAAAGTCACAAGCGCGGAAGCGTCCCAAAAAGCGAGCAGACCAGACTCTGCTTTAAGCCGATTCCCTCTAAAAAAGGAGCCCCGTCACCAGAAGGCTAGTGGTAAGATTCGACGAAAATTAGGAGGGTCATATCACCGGAACCGCCGCCACGCGGCACCCGCGGCTGCAGTTGACCTCGGGTCAAATCCTGACAGCGGCAAAACTTAAAGTGGGTAGATGCACGCCGGTGGTCGTGCATAGCTTTATAAATATCTTAAGCTAAATGTTTCCAAGCAGCTTTGGACGGAGATTAGGCATCAGCTCTGGGCATGCAATGGAGATGATCGAGTAATACGTACAAGCCACACAATTTCGGCACTTCCACTCCCCATTACTGTCGCCAGAAGGCGTGCTCTGCTCTTAGCTTGCAAACTATCACAGTCGCGTGCTCACAACGAATTACACACAAACACATGTAGAAATACAAGTAAAAATACAAGCTATGGGAACTCTTATGTTGTATGATATTTTTATCTCGGCTTTGAAGCCATACAAGCAGCCTAGAATGTTACCACGCTCAGACACAAAGTGTCAACGATCATGGTGAGCTGAATTACGTAAAGCCACCAAATTCGCCCTCACCCTTTTAACTGAAAAGCGTCAGCGTCTGCTGCAAGAAAAAACGTATTTTGGGGCACCCTTTAATCGGCAGGAGCATGAAAAGGTTAAGGTAGATTTTAAAAGGAAATCAAAAGTGTGAGTGAAAAATTGGAAAGAGAGGTTCCAAGCCGAAGTAAAACACTGGACTGTATGGTTTAAGCAAAACGAGCTACTTCTTAATGGCGCGTTTACGGTTTTAATTATGCATCCCAGGTCGTCTTTTTCGTACCCAATCTCTTACCTAACTACTTAATTAAGTTCGAAGCTAGCCTCTGTTTACTCACGTCATCTAGCTGCACTGTGGCATAAGGTTCCATGTACACTTCATAGTAGTTGATGAAAGGCTGCAGGTAAAGCGGAAAGCTGGCGCTAGCGGCGCCGAGGAGCAGCATCAAAAGCGCCGAAACTATTTTCATTGTTGCCATGGCGACGATCCGAAGTCAGTGGGTCCGTTTTGTTTCACCACCTTGCAAGTCAGCGTTGACCTCGGCTAACGCTCCAGGGAAAGAGAGAGAGAGAGAGAGAGGCTCAACTTTGGTGAACAGTTCTTCTCAAATTGGTATTACGTTACGCCACAAGGCGATGACGTCCGAAGTTCTTGGCACGTGCTTGACGATGCTACTCCTTTCAACACCGACGTCGCCAAGCCCGATGCCACGGCAATGTCCTGTGGCTATTTCAGCACCACGCCCGATTCGCACAGTCACCCGAGGCACCCAGGCGGTTCACAAGGTCACGAGAGGTCACAAGTCGCGGGCGTTCGCAAGCGTTCCAGCCACCAGCGGTGTAATCCCCCTGGCCGCAAGGTCCGACCGTCTTCACGCCTCGACGTCTCGCCGCCCACTCGTCGACATAAAAACAGAACCGTGCCCGAACAGCTGAGCGTGACGTCACAGAGGACCGCCCTGAGGCCGTAGTCGGATTTCACTGGCTTTCGGCGGAGGCTGCCACGGGCTACGGCTAATTAAAAAACAAAAGGCGGATTCCCTCACGCCTACCGTTTTTGGTTAGATATACGCCACACAGAAACGCGATGTGTTTTTTAATGTTTCACAAACTGAAGAAGCAAACGTATCATGTTCAGTGGCTGTGGAACAGAGGAGACGAGGGGCAAGCACGCACCACACCTGTTTGCCGCGTTTAAATCTAAAATATTGCATGATGAACAACTTAAGAATTCAGCCCCCCTAACTTTCCACCCGTTGCAACTAAGCTTACATCTACGGGAAGTTTTTCTCAACCGATAGTTTCAGTTTGTAAACATTATCAGTTGAAGTGATTTGGTAGCAGTATAGGTTCAAAATTAGCGGGTATCCGGGACTTTTGAGGACTTAATTTTCAGACAGTGTACGGCCTAATGTGTACCCAAATATACCCGAAAAGTTAAATGTACCCAAAAGCGTAACGTGAAATTCCTCAAAACGGGCGTGCATTGTTTCCGACAACCCGCGTCACACAGGGGTACGCTAGCTTATTCTACCCTGAACCTGTTGACAGCATCTCTCTGTTTGGTTCATTGTTTTTGCAGCAAAAGAACTCGAAAACATGTCATACAAAGCCTGGAACCACAATGAATATGTTGGCAGATATAAACTACCCAGCATGTTCATAACCGTGCCGATGTAGCGTTGTTACATTCTTCGAATGGGTTGAGCCAGCGTGACCAGGAAAGATGGTTCGCTCAGAGTGGGTCCGAGACTGAATGCTCAGGCATGTCACCTTAACGTTATACCAAGCCGAGAAGGATAACAGTAAGTTGGGGAGGGGACTGTACAGATGGATGGAGGATTGCCGGCAGCTACCCAATTGTGCAAAAAACTACAGCCCTATTGATAGCAGTAAAAACATTTCATTAATCGCAGCATAAATCAAGTAATGCACTTGAACGGAACCTGTGCACCACTACTACACTGGTTAAGTATTTCAAAATGCTCCTAACTTGCCATACAAATAAAAGACGTCTTCATAATCTTCACCCTGATTCCCGGTTTCCATGACACGAAAAAGTCGGCAGCGGTCGAAGCGACCACCCTGCCGTTTTAAGCTAAAAACGATAGACCCTCGCAGAAAAAAAAAAACCATTGCATCAGTCTCAACGAGATCTCGCGATTGATCGGATGTTCCATGCTGCTAGGCCAAGGATTGACCCCAGCGGACCGTGTAAAAGATAACTGTTTCCTCAAAATCAAACTGTCCCAAATGTATATCCCAATATTTACATCATGCCTAATACTACATGCAATTTTAAAAATACGTGTTCCTTGTCGATTTGAAGCATATCGGTACGTAGTTTGTTTTAATCATGCAATTTACGATCAGGGCTCTTATTATGTAGCAATGCCGGTCTGCCGGCCACGATAAGCAGATTCATCGGCAGCCGTTCGTCCACTGCGTAGGTCGCAGGTCTCCGATGGGTATGCTGTGCTTCTAAGAAGCCGCCGCTTCTCAGAAACGGGAAATGCTAGCAATACATGTTTAGTGTAAAGCGAGTGTAATGATTTCTCTTGAGGCTGAGAGAAAATTTGGTGCATTGGCATATGCCGCAGTTATCACCTCAGAAAACCTTAGAAGGAGAGGGGTGCTTGTCATTGACCCCCTACAGTTCCTGTCTGCCTCGGTGGTTAGGCGCAGACATGCGTTGACAAGCAGATCATGTTTGATGTGCAGAGCAAAGTGCACAGCTAGTGCAATTTTCTTTGCGAGGGTATTCAACACGACGCAAAATTGTTAACGCCTGATGTAGGCTATATGCTATATTGCGGCATTCGCCGAAAACGATCGATTCGAGAAGGGCTAAAAAAGTATAATGTAATTGTACCCTGCAACGTTTTCTCCACCTCATCGCGAATTGCCTGCTGGTTTGTCTCCGTACACCGATTCTCCAGACCTGCCTCTACCACTTTCCCAACCCGTGACAATTTCTATCGACCACCTCCATTTTGGCGTTGGCTCGTTTTTGGAGTCGCATCTCAGTCGGCCCCGCCGTGTGCTATCGGAACGACTTCCCCCTACCCGCGGCGGACAATTGGCAGGCACATCGGAGACACGCGACGGATTCGGAGCGAAAGTAAGCAGCGTCCATGACTCGACACCCTGAGGACGGAAGGAGGCCAGTGTGCCCTGAAGGCAGCGGATCGAAACCTTCCGGAACTGAGTATCCACCGGCCTCCATGCCGCCCTCATCGGGGCTCCTGCCGACATACTTCAGCCGGCCCGCAAGCTGCGACAAGCACCGCCGGGTCTCCGGCACGTGACGACGACCCGCGTCGAATGAACTTTACGTGACCACAGCCCGAGCCCTCGACGGTGATCACGTGACTTCGTGTCGGCGGCGCGGGCGCCACGCGACGGTCGTCCCAGCGGGACATTCGAGGTAATTGATGGTTATGTCCGAGCTGGGCGGACGCGGAGGATGACCACTGGGAAGTGGGGCAGCAGCGGCGGGGACGCCGCCGAAGATGTATGAACGGCCGAGCACGGGAGGCAGGAGAAAGCACAGACAGGCGCTATCGTAAGTGTCGAACTGCGTGTCTAGTAGATTTCTGGTATCAAACTGAAAACTATGTTCTGGACACCGTTATACGGGGCATTTTTGCGCTGGTTGGCTAACGTGCTACGTTTTGGAGATTTTAAGTTTCAAAGCATTTCAGCGCCGTGCCCGGTCACACTCTTTAATTTAGGACCTACGGCCATGACATGCAAATTGCGACCTACGGCCATGGCCTACAAATCACGACCTACAGCCATGACCTACAGTCTCAACCCACAATTTAGGACCCATAATTCACGACCTACAATACATGACCTACGACTGACGACCTACAATTCACTAACTATAATTCATGACCTACGGTCCCACCTACAGCCCCCCCCCTCCTGCTCACACCCGCTCATATGGCCCAGCCCGGTCACGACCTCCCGAGCACCGTTTGGGCTCGATGGGTTGCGAAGGAGACACGACATACCATCGTCATGTCAATTCTCTGTAGGTATTATAAGTTATAGGTTATCACAAATGAGATGACAACTTACACAAAAACTGGAACAATGAGTACTCTCTATATGGTTCAGCTCGGTTCATGAGACACGGGAGAACGAAATAGCAAACGAGTTGGCCTATTCTATAGGGAACTGGTAGAGATCTTCTAGAACGTCCCCGGTCTCGAACACATAACCTCTCGATTGTGAATCTGGTACGTTACCGACTGAGCCACCGAGACTACTTTACATGGTGCGAAAGTCTAAAATTCGCGGCGTGCCATGGACGAAAACTTTGACTCAATATGCCGTGGGAGTTTGGCTCTTTCTAGATAAAAATTGAGCAGCGGATCGGTTAAAGACAACTAAACCACCTTTCGTTTGGTGCCAGATTCATCGAAATTGGCCTGATGAAATTTGATTCACAGACCTGCGAAAACCAGGCCTTTAACTCGTAAATCCTACGGGCTAGTAGGAAAAAGACGCCGCAGGGCAGCTGTGCTACCAACATAATTCCGTAGTGGCTGAGGGCTATCGCCATGAGGCGGAATTGGAGGCAGGTTGCTGCAACCAAATGCTGCCGATCTGAAGACAGTCATGATTATGTACGAAATGGATATTGCTAGAAAACACGTTTTTAACACAGTTTGGACTATATTCGAAGGCATTGTTTGCATCCAGCAACAAATGGAGAACATCTTTTTTTCCAAACGCGAAAGCCTAGTGGGCGACATTACCAAGTGTTTCTCCAAACAACTTCCTTGCGTCGAACGCAATATTAAGCGCAGTTCCAGTTATCAACAGAACAATTTCCTTTTTCGCTTTTATATCCTGGAGAGAATGGAAACTGTTCAGCAGTCGACTATGTGAGGGGAGTGAAACTGATAACTACTGACTGATTAAAGATCAGTCAGTATCTAGCTAACTGATTAAAGGTCAGTTAGTATAATCTTGCGTAGAGTCAAATCATTGGGGACCGCGTTGCTTTTCAGGTTTAGAGTTTGGTGTGTGTGCGTGTTGATGCCGGCGCTAATTCGCAATTGTTTTTATCTGGGACTCATTGAGTTTGTCATTGGAAAAATTAGCTTTCATGTGTTGTAAGTAATGCTAACATTACATGTAAACCATGACATGTAACCCCAATTTTATACAGGCCATTAATTCAGTCAAACGAGTGTTTTGGGGAGTTGTGCATGTACCGTCCAGTGAACAAGATGAATATGTGACTAAATAAGCTTTATATGCAGCAATCTTAATGCGGTCAGGATCCAGCTAAATACGTCAGTTTGACTCGAATTTTGTAGTCATGTGAGCTGTGAAGCAAAAATGTCAGTATTCAAAGGCTGCTTGCAATGTCCGACATTTTGAATGCCGGGATCTTAAACCCGTCCGTGTCCTGCGAGGTTCGAAGGGTGAAAGGCACAAAAGACCCTGTGCTTTGTCTATCCCTCGCACTGTGGGATTACGGGTTGTAAAGGGATTGCTCTAGCAGCTTGTCCTGGAGGTTTCCTCATTCCGAACATCGCCGACGCCTGAG